TTGATGTAACTTGCTGCTTGCGCCTGGCAATAATTGTCCACATGTACCAAGATTGTTATTTTCTGGTATTTGTTGTAAACATCATTATCCTTGTGTGATGTAAGGCATGGGCGTAGAGCCTTACCCCAACCTACATACACTAGGCACACCAGAAGATTAAGGCTTAATGTCCATGACCCGCTAAAATGGCAAAATTCCTCTAAGTCACAAACATGTGGATAGTACTTTCCGCCAGTGTACATCAGGTAACTAGGTTTAACCTATCCAAAGGGAATAGACTCTTCTAGAAATAGATTCACCCTGCGTATAGCCACGCGAGGCTATTGGCTTTAACGGATTACGGCAGGATTACGCTAGATATAGCGCGCCAGTACATCCCGAGCCTAGTCGGTGATATAATTATAATAACAGGATAAACCAAAGGATTATGGAAAAGGAGGAATAGGAAACCAAATGGGGTGTGATAAATATCAAAGGAATCAGGATTAAAGGAAGAATGAGATAGAGGAAAAAGATGGAGATGAGAAAGAAGTGTAACGGGGTCGTACTCTCACATTGGGGGAACGTCGCAAGGGGAGAACCTGAGGCGGCCTCGGTACAGACGGCCTACCGCTCGTGACCCGGAAACATAGTGGCGACGCCGTGGTCCTGAAGACATTCGACACCAACTAAGTTCCGTGAGAACGAGGGGATGTGTAGGCCAGTGAGGGAACCCGAGGGAACCGCTGGATAGGGAAGGGTAGTGTAGCTGCGAGAAACTATAGGACCAGAGGAGGGGTCAGCAAGTGCGACAGCAGCAGGTGCGGCAAGCGGCGTAAGCGCAGCGTGGTCGCAGAAGAAGCAGGCAGCGTCGCCGTTGTCGTTTCGTGCTGCGCGCCGGCGAGTCGAGTTACTCGCTCGAACTCATTTCGCCGAGCTTCGCGATCAGCTCGCATCTCCTCCTGCAGGGCGGCGATGCTCGCAAAGAGCTGCTGGGTAACCTCGGCGTTGTCGAAGTTCGCCATCCTGTTCAAAACACGCGCGAAGGGGTTAATTCAAAACGCGGAGCTGGTGCTTACTAGAATCGGCGCCGAATTGGTCGCCCCTTGCAATTTTTCGAGGCTTCTGCTTAGCTGAGCGTGGCTGAGTGAGAAAGGCTCTGATTACCAAGTGTCACAGGATCAAATGTGTCGAGGAAAAGTTCCACTATCGATTAATACAAGGCGCTTTTATACTTCCAAAGTACATCAGGTAACCAGGTTTATCCAAAGGGAATAGACCCTTCTAGAAATAGAATAACCCTGCGTATAGCCACGCGAGGCTATTGGCTTTTAGGGATTATGGCAGGATTACGCTAGATATAACGTGCCAGTACATCCCGAGCTTGGTCAATGAGATAATTATAATAACAGGATAACCCATAGGATATTGGAATAGGAGGAAGAGGAAACCAAATGAGATGAGATAAAAAGAGGAATGAAATAGAAAGGAGATATGGACAAGGAAATATGTGTAACGGGGTCGTACTCTCACAAGGAGGGTGCAACGGTGGATTGCCCCATTTATTTTTAGGGTAGGGTTCAATGGGAAAAGAAATAAAATCTTCCTGGACAGGGGAGCCAGCCACAGCCTGATCAACCTTGTCATGACCAGAAAAATGAAGTTACCCTAAGATAGGTGTCTACCAGAGATTGACGCCTCACAAGTCGATGGGACTCCACTAGCATTAAAAGACAAGGCGGACAGGATTAGGGTCTGCTGCGGAGCTGACTTCAAAATTTCGATAGGGATGCAGGCAACTACACTCGACGGCTTCGTGATGTTGTTGGGAAGGGATGGGCTGTAACCTTTCGATCTGAAAATTGACAAGACGACCGGCAGCTGTTCTATCAAAATCAATGGTCGCTGTATGATGTTCCCAGAATGGACGAAGGGGATCACAAGGGGAGTGATGCAGGTGAACTCTGTGGCGATCAAACGAGTGGCCGCACAGGGCGCAGAAGTCTTTGCTGTGGTCGTTCACGGAAGCAGCGGGCCGAAGCTGCGACTGCTGTTGCTGCGTCTGCGACTGCTGCTGCTGCGTCTGCTGCCGCTGCTGCTGCTCCTACACACCTGCCCGAGCCCCCTCGTCAGAACCACTGTCTCCACCCCCACCACCTCCTCCACCAGCACCACCACCATGCCCTCCCTTGGGGCCGCGGCGGCCCCGACGCTGTCGGTGCTGCTGCGGGAAGGCCGCCGTTGCGGTCTCAGTGGTAGGAGCAACTGTAGCGACGGCGGCGGAAATGTCAGCGTACGTGCATTGGGAGGGAGCACAACCCTGAAAGATAGGGACCGCCGCAACACCGCTTGAGTGAGCAATAGTGCGGTGGTGAGTCTTTATCTCAGAAGGGCAATGACAAAGGCGGTCAGGGTGAGGTCACCGGGGTGCTGGCTAAGGAAGTGGTCACGGGCAGTGGCTAAGCGGTCAGGCAAGCGCATGGCAATAAGGTGCAGGGTAGCACAGAAGAGTGGGGGAAGGCAGTGAGCTGGGCGGCAGTGCTAGCAGCGCGGAAGCTAGTCTCTAGTGCACGGAGGTGAGTAGCGAGGCCAGCGACAGTGGGGAAGGCGGAAAGATCGGGGAATAGCATGGGGAGGATTAAGCGGCCAGCGGAGGAGGAGGCGGGTGTGGAGTAGCGCGCAACCACGACATCTATAAAGTCGGCTTTCGCGACAACAATGAAGCGCGGACGCTCAGACAGGGGAAGTGCATGACTAATGGCGAGCTGCACTACAGCATTGCGAGAATCCCTGACAGCGCGAGCGAGCGCAGCAGCAGCAAATGCCTTACTCTCAGCAGTGGTGGAGTCAGCAGGAAGGGGATTAGGCGCGGGGGGCGGGGAAGCAAGCCATCAACATGCATAGCCAGGGAGTGCCCATCCTGGCGCTGACCTGTCAGGTGCCAGCGAAGATCGACAAGCCAGGCGGCGAAGTCAATCGCATGCCCCTCCGCGTCCAAGCGAAGTACGGCGTCCACCATCGTGCAGCTTCAGCAGCACAGGTACACGTAGGCACAGCGGCACGGCGGTGCATCGGCATAGGGACACAGCGGCATAGGGAAATGGCGACATAGCGGCACAGGTACTCAGCGGCACGGCGGCATAGTGGCGTGGCGGCAGGACTCTCCGGCGAGGAGACCGCGCGGGAGGCAGAGGAGGGCCCAAGGGGCGCAGGGCCCGAGGCGCGCAGGGCCCGAGGCGTGCAGAGCAGGCAGGGCGCAAAGGGTCGGCAAAGTGCGGGGGGTCTAGTGGTGCGGGAGGGCTGGTGGGCGCTCGAGGAGCCGAGGCGCACGAGGGGCCGGCGAGGTGCGCAAAAGGCCGAGCAGGTGCGGGAGGGGCCGGCGCGTAGAGAGGGGCCGACTAGGTACGAGGGTCCGACGGTGCACGAGAGGGGCCGGCTAGCTCGAGGGGCCGGCACGGCGCAAGGGGTCGTCGCGGCGTGCGCGGGCGTCGGCTATGCGAGGGGTCGGCTGGGCGTGGGGTCGGCTAGGCGCGGGGCCGGCTAGGGCAAGGGGCCGGCTAGGCGCAGGGCCGGCTAGGCGCGGGGGCCGACTGGGCGAGGGGCCAGCTAGGCACGGGGTCGGCTACGTGAGAGGGGCCGGCTAGGCGAGCAGGGCTGGCTAGGCACGAGGGGCCGGCTAGGCACGGGGTCGGCTATGGGAGAGGGGCCGGCTAGGCGCGAAGGGCCGGCTAGGCTAGATGGGCCGGCTAGGTACGAGGGGCCGGCTAGGCACGCGAGGCCGGCACGGCGCGCTACGGGCCGGCTGGGCGCGAGGGGCCGACGGGCGCTAAGGGGCCGGCTAGCACGCTAGGGGCAACGAGGTGCGCTAGGGGCCGGTTAGCGCGTTTGGGGCCGGCGGGGCACGGTAGGCTAGGGTACGACAGGGCGGTAGGCTAGGCGAGGGGCGGAAGCGGGTGGACGGACCTAACCTACTATGATACCATGTTAGAATACGAGAATGATTAGAAACAAAAAGGCCCCTTTCCCTAGCAGGTATGACGTGCTTGATTTGACGTGGTACAATGAGGTGAATGTTCGGCTCGGAAGCTGTTCGTGAAAATGAGACACGCCCGTAGGGAGTGTCCAAGGTTAATTTTGACATCCGACGACAACCGTTGGGGGATGTCGAGGGATTTAAACCATCGATCGGAAAGAATCTATGGTTGACGTTCCTCGTCATTCGCCAACGGATGTCGTTGGATGTCGAAATTCACTATGGACACCCCTTTATTTTCTTCATTCTTCCACACACTGCAAATCTTCCATGTCAAGTTCAACCCTTTGGCCCGTGAGTTGCGTTACGAGGAGGTGGGTGGCGCTTTCCTATTGGCCGAAAATAGCCTAGCCCATTCCTTTGGGGTTGGGCAGGCCACTGTTCCAAGCCGAGCCCCTTCTGAAACATTTCGGGCCCCAGCGTGTGTTCTGAACTGAACGCCTGCGTCGTGTGATGCGGGGAAGCTGCCCCAAGGCAAACTACTCCTCTCCACAAGCTGGACCGCGTCGCACACGTATTGCAGAGGCGCTAGGCTGGAGGTATCCGCCACGTCGCAACTTTACCACGTCGCTTGCGAATGGGAGCTCACCAGCGCCAGGTCCTTGGGTTGCGAGGAGAAACAAATTATTCAATGGGAACTATGACACCTTGTTGACCAAGTGCCCCTCCCTGACCCGACCTCCACACCTCAAATCGGAAGGGCATATTTTCAGCTCATGCCCAGCACTGTTCTGTTGTGGTGTCGCGGCAGTCGTCCGCTTCTTACAGCTGCCCGGCCAGATAAGCGCCGTGTCGAGTCGACGGCACGCGAAGCTACAGTACTTGCTTTGCTCACGCACGACTGATTGGCCAAGCAAATTCTGATACAGCTCGTGGCGGTGAGCAACTTCACCGACCGTATTGGAGGTCAGTGCTCTTATAAGGAGAGGTGGGGGCGGATAGGAGGACTATGCAGCAGGGCGCTTTTCAGGTGACGAGGAGCCAAGAAATCAAGAACAGACTGCGAGAAAGAAAGAATTCGCCCCTCAGCAGCACGCATATCCCCTTGAACATCTCGGCCGGTTTCCCCTTCGTACTAGACGCTAAACGAGCAAGGCCCCACCCACACATTCGAGGGAAAGAGCTTCCGAAGACAGCTAATAATTCAGGGCATCTTTCACTTCCCAATCCGAGTACTGCTCGCAAGGTCCCACCTTTTGGCAACGCCGTGTGGCCGCTTCACTCCAGCCGCACAAGCTTTGCCTGCCGCTCCAAGTAGAGCTCGCCATGGTCGAACGGCGGAGAGACTCGTGCCGGCCGGAGGAATCGAGCCCGCTCCCGCTCGAAACCTCCCACGTTACAATCCGACCGGGCTCCAAGCGGCAACAGCCGCAGCAGCATCACAACGCCGAAGCCCACTCCACCCCGTACTTCCCTAAATCCCCGTCCTACAAGGCGCGCTTCGGCATGAAGCCCAACCTGCTTCGAGCGGCTGTCGTGCTGACGCTAATCGTCGCCGGCAGCGCCGTGGCGCTCTGGTCGCTGGGGCTGTCGTTCCGGAGCGCGCTCCTCGCCATCCAGCCCCCCTCGTCGCGCATGGAGAGCTCCGCGCTCGACGGCGCGGGCGCAAGAGGCGGAGGTGACGGGCGCGATATAAACGCGCTATCGGCGGATCAGCTCGCTATTGCTCTAAGTCTCCGACAGCTCGGGAAGCCGCGGCGGCCGGTGAAAGGCGCGGCCGACGGCAACGGTGAGTCGGCGGGTAACGCGCGGGAAGCGGATGCCGCGGCGTCGGCGCGAGCGGCAGATGATGGTACGGAGAGGCGCGCAGATGGCGGGGGCGTAGGACGGATTCAGGGCGACGCTGGTAACGGTGTTGTGGGGGGCGAGGCGGCAGCAGCGACAACGGGAGAAGAGACAGAGGCAGAGTCTGATGTAGAGGCGGAAAGAGGGACGGGCGGGGACGGGCACGTGGTGGAGCAGCAAAAGGAGGGTGATAGCGAGGAAGCGGGTGGTGCAGCGGACGATGCTGTCGCGCCGCCCGAGGGTGACGTTCCTCCCCCAGATGAGCCTGCCGTGTACCGCTCGCCCGTGATTCTCGGCAAACTCCCCAAGCCCGGCACGCGGCGAGCAGTGGCGCTGCGCAACATTCTGCAGTTCGACGTCATCGCCGCCAACACCACCTCCGCCGGTGGCCGCTCCAAGTCATCGACGATGCTCGTCCCCGCGCGCCCTACCAAGACCTCGGAGCCGCAAGACGGCTTCCAGGCGCTGCGCAAGTGGCTGTCCAAGCGGAAGAAGCGCATGCTGCGCGACGAGTCCGCCCCCGCCAGCCGCCGCGCGGACAAGGTGCGTCTGGGACTGGTGAACCTCGGCGCGGCGGACTTGAACCGCGCGCGCGCGCAGTTCCCCAAGGCGGTGTTCCGCCCGCTACCGTTCTCCGCACCCCGCGCGGATTTGAAATGGGCGGAGCTCTTCCCCGAGTGGATCGACGAGGAGCGCCCGAAGCCGTGCCCCGCGCTGCCCTGGCCGCGGTGGGCGGGCCCGGGGAACGGCACCGTCATGTGGCCTGATAGCGACGACGACATTAACGGGGATGACGAAACGAGCGCTGAAGACGAGGCGGGGGATGGGGATAGCGGGGAGGGGGGGGAGGGGGATGGCGCGGCGTGGCGCGTGCGGGAGGAGCATGAGGTGGACGCGCTGATCGTGCGCGTGCCGTGCGAGGGGCTGTCCGTGCTGAACGCGTCGTGGGCCAGAGACGTGGCGCGCCACCACCTGCTGCTGCTCGCCGCGTCGGGCCTCGCTGCTCAGGTGAGACGGGGGACGGGGGAGAGGGCGGGAGTAGAGAGGTAGAGGGAAGGGGGAAGGGGAGGAGAGGGAGAGGGAGCGAGGGGGAGACGGAAAAAGAAACGGAGACGAACGAAATATGGAACCGAGCGGTGCGAGTATGGGAAGGGCACCTTCCTCCCCCCCGTGTACTGACGATGTATGATGAGTATGTATACTGACGAATATCAAATGCCGCCCACTGTTCTCTCCCTCTCTCACCATCACTCTCTTCCTTTCCCCCCTTACCTCCATAGCCACCTTCCCCCTCTATCCCCTTTCCTCCCATCACCCCCCCCTCTCCCCTCTCCCCTCCCCTCTCACGTCTCTCTCTCACTCACTCCGCCGCCCACATACGCACATTGTCTCACTCGAGCATCTCTCCCCTCTCCCCCCTCCTTCCCCGCCCCCCTCCACCCCGGTCCCCCCCTCATCCCCCCAGGCGCAAGCCACGGACTTCCCCGTGCTGCTGCTGACGCATTGCCTGCCGCCGCCCAGCATCTTCCACTGCCGCCACCTCGTCGCATCCCTCGCGGGGTCCTGGCTCTTCGCCATCCCCCCCCCCGCCATGCGCGCGCGCCTGCGGAACGCGCCCGTCGGCACCTGCCAGCTCTACCCCACGCCGCCCCGCCTCCCCCCTTCCGCTGGCATCGGTGAGCTGCTCGCGCCAATTCTGCGGCAGTTTCATTCCTGAGCTGCTACTACTAGCATCTTTCTTCCTACAACTTCCTATCCCTCTCCCGACACCCGTGTTTCCCCCTCGGTTCTTACAATCTCCCCCGTTCCCCCATGCTCCCCCTCTCCCCCCCGTGCGCGCCCCCCGCAGAGACGCCAGCGGCGAGCATGAAGAAGCAGGCGTGGGCGACGGTGCTGCACTCGAGCGACAAGTACATCTGCGGCGCGCTCGCGCTGGCGCGGAGCCTGCGGCGCGTGGGCACGCGGCACGAGCTGGTGGCGTTCGTGTCGAAGGAGGTATCGCAGCGCGCGCAGCGCAGCCTCAAGCTGGCGGGGTGGAAGGTGGTGGCCATCGGGCGCATGCGCAGCAGCTTCAAGGCCAGCAGCAACTACTGCAAGTGGAACCACAGGTGAGGGGCACCACCAAGCGCGGGGGCGCGGAAGCTACGAGTAAGTGAGAGAGGAAAGGTTGTGCGGGTGTTTTCGGGGAGGGAAGGCATGACTGGTTAAGAGCGTTAGCACATGCAGTGGGGGGGTGGGATGGGTGCCTGGTTGTGGGGAGGGTGAGGAGTAGAAGCGCGAGGGAGAAGGTGGAGGAGGGAGGGGGATGAGGGGATATGCGGTCCATGATTATTAGAAGCTCGCTGCATCCTGCAGGCTGTTAAATTGCTTTAATCTCCCATCCTGGCTCTCCCCTCTTCGCTCAGCATTCCCCTTGTCCCCTCCCCCACCCCCCTTCCACCCTCAACCACCCAAACCCTCATCCCCCGTCCCCCTCCTCCCCCCGTCCACCATCAACCACCCTCACCCTCATTGTGCTTGCGCTCCCTCGTGCTCCTGCTCTTGCGTGGCGTGCAGCAAGCTGCGGCTGTGGCAGTTCTCGGCGTACAGCAAGCTTGTCTTCCTGGACACGGACATGCTGGTGCTGCGCAACCTGGACCACCTCTTCGCCATGCCCGAGCTCACCGCCGTCGCCAACAACCAGTTTCAGTTCAACGGCGGGCTGCTCGTCGTCGACCCAGAACCCTGCACCTTCAGCATGCTCAAGGACGCGCTCGCGCTCTTCGAAACGTATAGTGACTGCGAGCAGGTGCGCGCGGCGGGGTGCTGATGGGGAGGGGGGTTGTGTGGTGTTGGTGTCTTGGAGAGAGGTTGGGTTGTGTTCTGCCTGATGCTGTGTCGGTGTGTTCCTCAAGTTCGGTGCCACAACAGTGCTCTCTCCCCACCTTGCTCTCTCAGAAAAACGGGCTTTTACATTAATGTGGTGGTGGCCAGTACAGGCAAGCAGCCAGGCAATAGCGGAAGACGAAAGCACCCCACCTCAGTCCCTCTTTCTCACCCTCACTGTCTCTCTCCCTTCCTACCCCCCCCCTCTCTCTTTCTCTACACACACATTCTCCCCCCCTCGTCCAATTTTTTTTTCCTTTGACTCCCCCTTCTAACTCACTTGCAACTCTCACAACTCCTGTCTCGCCCTCTCTCCTCTCCCCACCCCCCCAACCCCCCTCATCCACCCCCTTCCCCATCCAGGGTCTGTTGAATGAGCTGTACCCGTGGTGGCACCGCCTGCCACGCGCAACCAACTTCCTCAAGTTCGTGTGGTCCAACGACCCTGAGCACCTCGCGCAGCGCCGCGCCACACTATCCGCACAGCCGCCCATCGTGGACATGGTTCACTACTTAGGCGCCAAGCCGTGGTACTGCTACCGCGACTTCGACTGCAACCTGCTGAGCAAGGAGCGGCAGTTTGCGGACGACCTGGCGTTTGACATGTGGTGGAAGGTGCACGATGAGATGAGCGACGAGGAGCAGCAGCAGTGCTGGCTGCCCACGTGGACCAAGGCTGCACTGCGCGCCTCTATGAAGAAGATGGAGCTAATTGGGGAGGATCCGAGGTTGTGGAATGTGACGATAGCGGATCCAAGGGATAATAAGTGCAGGAAGTGGGAAGAGACGTACTCATGCGACTGGCGAACGATGCAGTCGGTGCTGGACGATCCTAAGCACTTCCGCTTCTAGACTTCCATGTGTGCACAATGTGTGTTCCCTTTGAAGTCTGAGCTCCTGGCATTGTGTGGGCATCAGCTTCCCAGCCAGACTGTGGGCAAAGGTATGCTTGGTATACCATGGCATGTACACTTGCTAGCTAGCTCTGGTTTGGCTCATCCATCTAGTTTTTAGCTCCACCTGTCAAACATATTTGTGTAAGTTTAGTAGACTATAGGGTCTTGCCATAGAGAGTACAACCCACTACCTATATACCCTTGTATACTCATTCTATTCAACACTTCTAACATTGAGATGGTATCATGAGTAGGTTAGGTCCCCCCCGCCCACCCGCGCTTCCGCCTTAGGTCCTGTCCTGCCCCGTCGTCTAGTGCCTAGCCGCCCCAAGGGCCCCGTTGCCCCGTTGCCTTGCAGGCCCCGCGGCCCTGTTCCCTAGCGCCTAGCCGCCTGTGGCCTCGTCGCCCCGTCACCCAGCGCCTAGCTGCCCCGCTGGCTCCGCGGCCCTGTCACCTAGCTGTCAAACATCTGTATTTGTCATGTTTGTATAGACTGTATAGGGTTACCTCTTAGAGGGTACAACACTTAGGTATATTTGTGTGTACTCTCACTTTACCATTAATTACAATTCCAATTCTGATATGGTATCACGCGTAGGTAGGATCCCCCCCACCTACCGCTTCCGCTCATGCCCCCTAGCGCCCCTCCTGGGCCCCGTCGCGCTCCACCCAGGCCCCGTAGCGCCCTGTCGCGCCCCTCCTGGGCCCCGTAGCGCCCCTCCTGGGCCTCGTCGCGCCCCTCCTGGGCTTCGTAGCGCCCCTCCTGGGCCCTGTAACGCTCCTCCCAGGCCCCGTCGCGCCCCTCCCAGGCCCCGTCGCGCTCCTCCCAGGCCCCCTAGCGCCCCTCCTGGGCCCCGTCGCGCTCCTCCCAGGCCTCGTAGCGCCCCGTCGCGCCCCTCCTGGGCCCCGTAGCGCCCCTCCTGGGCCTCGTCGCGCCCCTCCTGGGCTTCGTAGCGCCCCTCCTGGGCCCTGTAACGCGCCTCCCAGGCCCCGTCGCGTCCCTCCCAGGCCCCGTCGCGCTCCTCCCAAGCCCCCTAGCGCCCCTCCTGGGCCCCGTCGCGCTCCTCCCAGGCCCCGTAGCGCCCCGTCGCGCCCCTCCTGGGCCCCGTAGCGCCCCTCCTGGGCCTCGTCGCGCCCCTCCTGGGCTTCGTAGCGCCCCTCCTGGGCCCTGTAACGCCCCTCCCAGGCCCCGTCGCGCCCCCCCCAGGCCCCGTCGCGCTCCTCCCAGGCCCCCTAGCGCCCCTCCTGGGCCTCGTCGCGCTCCTCCCAGGCCCCGTAGCGCCCCTCCTGGGCTCTGTCGCGCCCCTCCCGGGCCCCGTCGCGCCCCTCCCAGGCCCCGTCGCGCCCCTCCTGGGCTCCGTATCGCCCCTATTGGGCACCGTCGCGCCCTCCCTGGGCCCTGTAGCGCCCCTCCTGGGCCCCGTCGCACCCTGCCCGACCCCGTCGCAGCCGCCCGGCCCCGTCGCGCCCGCCCGGCGCCGTCGCAGCCGCCCGGCCCCGTCGCGCCCGCCCGGCCCCGTCGCGCCCGCCCGGCCCCGTCGCAGCCGCCTGGCCCCGTCGCCCTAGCCTGGCCCCGTCGCAGCCGTCCGGCCCCGTCGCCCCCGCCCGGCCCCGTCACAGCCGCCCGGCCCCGTCGCACCCGCCCGGCCGCCGTCCCGCTCGCCCGGCCTCGTCGCACCGGCCCGGCCCTGCCGCACTCGCCCGGCCCCGTCGCCCCAGCCCGGCCCCGTCGCGCCCGCTCGGCCCCGTCGCCCCGTCCCGGCCCTGTCGCACCAGCCCGGCCCCGTCGCGGCCGCCCGGCCCCGTCGGGCCAGCCCCGGCCCCGTCCTCCTCACTGGTACGGTTCCCCCCCACCCCGCCCTTCTCCGTGCCGCCCCGCACCACACTGTACTGCCTGGCACCGCACTACACCGCACTACACCGCACTGCACCGCACTTCACCGCACTGTACGGCACTGCATCGCACTACACCGCACTGCACCGCACTGCACCGCACTGCACCGCACTGCACTGCCCTGCACTGCACTGGACTGTTCCTGATGGCGGCGGAGCTTCGCTTCGACGCTGAAGGTCAGCCCCTAGAGTTCGAGGCGTGGCTTGCCGACCTCCGCCGTCAACTCACTGGCCAGCGACAGGATGGTGAACCGCTTTCCGCACACCTTGACGGTACGCTCCCCTGCCCAGACCCCCCTGCTATTCTGCCCGCTGACCCCACACCCACTGAGTGTGAGGCTACTGCTGCCACTGCCCGTGCGCGCTCTGTCTGGCTTTCTCGCGATGCTGTTGCCCAGCTTGCCATTAGCAACGCCCTTCCCCCATCCGAGCGTCCTCGCTTTAGGTCCCTCACTACTGCTCAGGCATACTTAGATGCTGTCATCAAGCGCTATTCCACCCCTCCGGCTGCCTCGGTGGGTCGCCTGATCCTTCCGATGCTCTTTCCTGACCTTGCATCTTTCCCCACTGTCTCTGACCTCGCTGCCCACCTGCGCTCGATAGATGAGACCTGGCGCGCTGCCTGCACTGACGCCCAGCTTAGAGCCCACCAGCCGCCCATTACCTCTACCCTCTACCTGCTTGCCACCCGCCTCCCTGACCGCCTTGCTGTCGCCCGCGACCGCTTTCTTAGCGTTCACCCCGCAGACCTCACCCTCACTGACTTTGTAGACACCCTGACTGTGATAGAGACTCGTCACCGCTCCATTGCCCAGGCGAGCGGTGTCGTGCCGGTCCCTATCTTTCAGGGTTGTGCCCCCGCTCAGTGCACCTTCTCCGACGGCTCTGCCGCAGTGGCTGAGACTGCTGCTGCAGTGCAGGTCCGTTCGGGGAAGGGCCGCCGCCCCAAGGCTGGGCGCGGCGGAGGAGGCGGCGGGGGTGCTGGCGGGGGTAGTGGTGGGGTCGGGTCGCCTGGTGCTGGAGTGGACGAGGGGACCCTGCCCAGTTCAGCTGAGTCGCCGCCCCTGCACGTGCAGCAGCCGCAGCAGCCGCCGCAGTCGCAGCCTTCACAGCAGCCGCAGCAGCCGTCGCAGACGCGGCAGGCGTGTGTCCTCCCGCCAGGGTGGCCCGGCGCTGGCGGTGGCCGGGCGCGTGGTGGTGTGCCGCGTGGTGGCTCTGGCGGCGGGCGTTGCCAGTACCAGATCCAGACCGGTCCTCGCCGCGGCTTCGTTTGCGGTAAGCTCGGTCACTCCACTCCCCGCTGTTTTCGTCGCCTGGACGACCTCTTTCGTCAGCGCTTCGGCCCGTCGCCAGACCTCCCGGACTGGCACAGTTTGCTTAGTCGTCAGATTCAGATTTTTGATATGGACATGGATGCCATTGTTTCTGCTCTGCATGTGATGTATGCTGATGACTCTAGTGTGCTTCCCGCTTATTACTCACTGTTGCCTAGTGTATGTGTGCCTAGCTTAGCCTCCCCTGCTGCGTCAGGCGTAGGATCCCCTGCTTTGTGTAGTCTTGGTGCTTCCGCAGTCGTTCCGTCGCCAGACCCCTCGGCTTCGCTTTCCTTCACTTTGGACTCTGGCGCCTCTCGGTGTTTCTTCCGCGACTCCACCACCCTGACGCCGCTTCCTGTTCCTGCTGCCGTTTCTCTTGCTGACCCCTCCGGCGGTCCGGTAGTCGCCCGCAGTTCCACCACCCTTCCCTGTCCGGCGGTTCCTTCGGGTTCTCTTACAGGTCTGCATATCCCCTCGTTCTCCAGGAACCTAGTTGGTGTCGGCTGCCTCCAGGACCTTGGCGTCACCACTACGTTCCCTGGTCACGAGCGGTATGCTGTCTGTACCGAGGCCGCCACTGGTGCCCCCCTGTCCACGTTCCCCCGGGACCTGGTGTCCGGCCTGTTCACTCTGGACACCGTGACCCCCCCGGCTGGAGCGCCCCCTCAGGTGGCTGCGTCTACCCAGGTTGCTGCTGCCTGCTCCTGTCGCTCCCTCACTCACCCGACCCTCCTTTGGCACCACCGCCTAGGTCACCCTGCGCTCCCGCGTCTGCGTCACATGTCTCAGCACGGTCTCGTCCTTGGTCTCCCAGGTTCGCTCCCCGCGTTTCCCTCCTCTCCAGCCCCACCTTGCACGCCTTGTGTCGAGGGTCGGCTTCGCCGTGCCCCTCACTCCTCCTCGTTTCCCCCTACCGCCGCGCCGCTACAGACCCTGCACCTGGACGTCTGGGGCCCCGCACGCGTCCCTGGGCCGCGTTGAGAGCGCTACTTCCTTGTGCTTGTCGACGACTTCACTCGTTACACCACCGTATTTCCCCTGGAGCGCAAGGCCGACGTGCCTGGCGCTCTCATCCCCTGGCTTGTCTCTGCGCGTGTCCACCGCGGTCTCCCTGTCTTGCGTCTTCACTCAGACCGTGGTGGCGAGTTTGCCTCCGGTGTCCTTGGTCACTTTTGTCGTGCGGAGGGCATCACCCAGACGTTCACCCTACCGGACTCCCCACAGCAGAATGGGGTCGCTGAGCGACGCATCGGTTTGGTCATGGAGGTCGCTCGCACCTCCATGATCCATGCCGGTGCACCCCATTTTCTGTGGCCGTTCGCTGTGCGCTACGCGTCTCACCAGCTTAACCTGTGGCCGCACCCTCAGCAGCCGCAGGTTTCGCCGACCCGTCTTTGGACTGGGTCTCCTGGTGACGCGTCTGCGTTCCACGTCTGGGGCTGCCTTGCTCACGTCCGTGCCTCCGGCACGGACAAGCTCACTGCCCGCACCCTTCCCTGCGTCTTCCTCGGTTTTCCCCTTGACGCGTCCGACTGGCACTTTTACCACCCACCGTCTCACCGCTTCTTTCACTCTCGTGACGTCACCTTTGACGAGTCCGCCTCCTACTACCGCCGCTTTCCCCACCGTGGTCCCCCGGTTACCCCCCCCCTGTTCCTGGTCACCCCTTCCCCGGTAGTCCCTGCCCCTCCTCCTCCTCCTCCCCGTCCCGCCCCCTCTGGTGTGTCCCACGTCACCCCCCTTCCGTCCGTGGACCCGGTTGAGGAGTCTTCTGCCTCTGGTGGCCCTCCTGTGCAGTCCTCGCCGGCCGCCCCTCCCCAGGTGTCCCCTCCCCAGTCCCCTCCTCCACCGCCCCTACCGCTGCTGCAGCCGCCGCCGTCGCCTCCGCCGCCGCCGCCGCCGCCGTCGCAGCCCCCGTTCGCCGACTCTGGGGGTGCTCGTCCCGGTCGCCCTGGGGGTGGTCCCTCTGGGGGTGCTGGTGTGGAGAGTGCCGGTGGTCGCCGAGGAGCAGCTTGCGG